AGTTCTAATCATGTATTACCTTCCGAAGTAACAAATTTGCCACCTCTAGATAAATAACTTGCGTCTAGTGCAGGTCAACTCGCGCAACAAGAACATGAAGTCGAGCTCATAAAATGAAAGAAAGTGCTTTCTTCAAGTCTGCATTTATAAAAATCAAGTACTTTAAGTACAGATATCACAGCACCATTTGCTGCGTGCATTGACCACTGCACCAAGCGATAGAAACAAAAATGCCACCTGAAGGGTGGGATTCCAGCTCCTTTAAAAAAAGGGCTTCTCAGTCCTCAAGAAAGGCCTAAAGCATAAAGTATTGCATAATAGACCTATTTCATCAGCGAGTTTCGCTACATCATCGCTGCCCCAATGCGTAATAAGAACTTTAGTCTTTCCAAGTGTGAAAAACCTAGATGCGGGTCTATCTGTGCGGAGCATGACATGGCAAAACCGGTCTCGTATACAGCAATTTCATCTCACAAATGCTCCAAATTGCGGATGGGTCTGTTAAAGAAATCGATGCCACATCTTCAACCATCTCTGCACAGCTTTTACCTGATGCTTGTCATTAAACGTGAACTCGTCCGCCTTTTGCTTGTCTTCTGAAGCCACAATGTAAATCGTCTATTGAACCCTATATTTTATGCAGCTGTTTTTTTGTGCGTGTCATCATCCACATTGACACGCATAAGTCAGGCCAACGCTACAGCTTCCCACACTTGTCGATGTGCTTGAACTCTTAATGTACAGGGTGTCACAAAAGAAAATTTACAGGGTTGTTTTCACCGCAAAAATAAACTAGGCATCGCCGGAAGCTTATTCTCCGCTCAAATGTACGCTAGAGGTCACAACCAGATGCTAAAGTTTCAGCCCGATCCAATACCTTTTATCAAAAGTTATGTGATTTTCTGAAAATTTCAATGGGAAACTGGCGGCCGACGGAGCTTTCGAATAGATGGGGCTCTATGGCACCAGAAACCGAAAACGGGTAAAAATGGGCTTCATTGTTCCACTGAAATTTTGAAAAATCAATTCTAACTTTTGAATAAGGCAACGGATCGGGATGAAACTATGGCATCTGGTTGTAAAATCTAGCACTACATTTGGACAGAGAATGAGCGTGCGGCGATGCCTAGTTTATTTTTGCGGTGGAAAAAAACCCTGTAAATTTTCTTTTGTGACACCCTGTACTTATTCAACCGCGTTTGGTCAAAGAGTCAACTTCCGCCGTCTTGAAAGGTAGTCACTTTCATCCCTTTGCTCAAGCCGGGCGAAAATGATTCACGTGTTTCCAGTTGCAGACCAGTAGTACTAACGAGTTGTGTCTCAAAAGACACTGAGAGGCTTACGTATAAAAGGCTTATGTACAAACTAGAAAAAAAAAATACTTTAGAGAACTATGAGTGCGGCTTCCGCACGTATCGATCCATGCTCGATCACCTGTTTTTAAATTAGACGAGTGTGATGGAGGCATTTGCAAATAGGTAACACTGTTTCTCCGTATTTAGTATTTAGAGAAGGCATATGATAAGTCCTGGCATTTTGGAATTTTGGACCTTTGGATCGACTTTGGTTTTCGAGGTCAAATGTTAGGTGCTATTCAAAGTTGCTTCAAACGTCGCACTTTTTCTGTAAGATTGAGATTCACCATTTATGGGAGCTTATTCGAAAAGATTGAGTTCCCCAGGGAGGTGTCCGTAGAGTAACTCTCGTTCTTGTAACGATGAATTGGACTCCTTGTGTTTTACCTTCTTCCAAACACTATTCAAATTTCTGTATCGTCCTGTAATTCTTAAATATTGGAAGCCGGGTCCAACTGGCTATGAACAATTTACGAAAAACGGGCTGACGCAAATGGTTTTAATTCTTTACCAGAAAACTCAGCTTGTGGGTTTCTCTCGCCAGCGTGGCAATAACCTTCCTTAAAAATGAATGGAATACAAACACGCACAAAAAGTGAACACACGTTTGAGCGATTCATATTTGATTCGAACTTGACTTTTCTTCTACATAGTAGGAAATTAAAACGTAAATCTCTCAAATTACTGAATATACTTAAGGTTATAACACATGCATCGAGGGGCTTTGATAGACTACGTCAGTTACGCATACACCGGGGGTTCTTCGCTCCAGGCTTGATTATTGTAGCATTCTGTTTGACTCTGCCGGAGAATCCGTTCTAAAGACGTTAGACCCCATTCGCCATGAGGGACTGCGATGAGCTATTAGTGCACTGCGCGCCTCCCCGGGATTTTGCCTGTATACAGACGCCAAAAACCATCGCTTGAAACTCGGGGGTTGGCTCTGGGGTTTATGTTTTTTATTCAAGTTTGGTCAGTTCCTCAGTACCCTACTCGGGATAACCTAAAAAATACCAGGTTACAGGGAACGTTTGCAAATAAACCAGTTGTTGTTCCACCGTTTGCATTGAGGAACATGAGTTCAGCTGGGTCTGAAAGATTACTTTCAAAGCCTCCAGTAGTTGAATGCTTAACCATCATAGCTCCGTGGGATTATAAATACAGTTCATTGCGAACTTGCACTGACTAAACATTCCCGATGCACTGAATCATGTCATAAGGGAGAAATTCTTTCAGCTCTAAATTCAATATGAACACTACTGTAAAACCCTTAATGTTCGCGAGCCCTCAATTTTCGCGAAGTTCACGAATTGAAGAATTCGCGAAATTTAAGGGCGCGCGAAAATTTCGGTCCATAAGATTTTCAATGCAGGCTTCTGGAATTCGCGAAATTTAGTGCTCGCGATTATGTCATCTGTGACCGATTCGCAAAAATAAGGGGCCGCCAAAATAAAGGGTTTTACAGTATATAGGTATTTATACAAATAGGCTTAAAACGGACTCGGTGTTTAGATCCGCTGTGACAGAGACGTCTCTAGAGGAGGTAAAAAAATCCACAATGCAGCCACCATACTAAGAGCAGAGCTCTATGATCTGTTGTTAGCTGTTGATAATGTAACAAAGAAAAAAAGGATTCACCCTTCAATTGTTTACAGGGATACCTTGAGCTTATTAAGGAACTTACAGCACTGCGGCGAACCAGACATTCACTTGTTCTAGAATTAAAAAGTAAGGTTTCCGCGTCTTGATACAAGCAGATTGAGTTAATGTTTTCTGGGTCCCAAGCCACGTCGGAATTCCAGGTAATAAAAAGGCCGATTGTGCAGAAACTTCTTCAAATTAGAAAGAAGTAGACATACATGAAATACCATACTATGACTACCGCGCCCATTTCATTCTTGCATTCGAACGAAGTGCAACGTGAGTGGAAAAATGAAACATATAACAAAGAGCATGTTGTAAGCCTTACAACATGCAGTGAATGGGAGAGTGCACGGCGTGGGGAACGCTTTTATGAGTTGCTCCTGTGCCGGTTACGAATGGGGCATACACGTCTCACCCATGGGCATTTCTTGCGGGGAGAGGATACCCTAGAGTGTGAGCACTGCAACATTCCACTAACAATATCACACATCCTTCATGAGTGCACCAAGTATCCCAAATAACGTTTTATAACGATTCGCAAACATACACAGTTAGTCATTTCACAACATTCAGTTAGTCATTTCACTTGGCGATGAGCAGCTGATTCTGCATATTTTTGTGTGAATTTTCTTAATAACATCGTCTTTTTACGCCGACTATGATTTTAGTTTTATAATATCAAGTAATATCCATCATGAATACCCCAGGTAGCACGCCAGAGAATGCCCAACTTGGGCAAAGGTCTGGCAAACATAAGGGCTCAACTTTGGCGCAGTTAGGTTTTTGCACCATGGCACTCATCAGTGCCAAAGTATGGTGCCTAACCATAGCCTTAGTTGGGCGATCCTAGGGCATACCAAAGTTTGGCTCTTCTCTGGTACGCCAGAGGAGTGCCAAAGTTGGTGCCATTCTTGAGCCATAACTGCCATAGTAAATCCTAATCTGGAAATGCGGGGCATGCCAAGGTTTGGCGTTTCTCTGGTCCGCCAGAGGAGCGCCAAAGTTGGTGCCATACTTCAGCCATAACTGCCAGAGCAACGCCTGATTTCGGCATTTGGGACGTGCCAAGGTTTGGCGTTTCTCTGGTCCGCCAGAGGAGCGCCAAAGTTGGTGCCATACTTCAGCCATAGCTGCCAGAGCAACGCCTAATTTCGGTATTGGGGACGTGCCAAGGTTTGGCGTTTCTCTGGTCCGCCAGAGGAGCGCCAAAGTTGGTGCCATAATTCAGCCATAACTGCCAGAGCAACGCCTAATTTGGGTATTTCGGACACGCCAAAATTCGGCGTTTCTCTGGTACGCCACAGGAGTGCCAAAGTGTGCCATACTTGAGCCATAACTACCAAAGCAACGCCTAATTTCGGTATTTCGGCCTCGCCGAGTTGGCCTTTTCTCTGGACCGCCACAGTTGTGCCAAAGTAAGTGCCAGACTTGAGCCATAACTGCCGCAGTAAATCTTAATTTGTCGATTCGGGGCATGCCGAAGTTTGGCTTTTCTCTGGCTACCCACTGAAGTGGAAAATAAGTGCCAAAAGTGGCAAAGAAAGCCGAGAGGCCAACTGTTGTAAATCATCTTGATATGCTATCTCCCGCCGCCTGAGCCAGGCGTGTGACGTATCAACAACAGCAGCGTTATGTCTTTCCTCGCCCTTTCTCCCTTCCCAACTCCCTCTCTCTTGCTTGCGTTAAATACTCTGTTCACGGACGAATAAACGTTCTTTTCCAGTCCCCCAGCGCTGGTCTCGTCAGTCGTCCACGCACCGTATGTGCGCTTGCTACGTAGCAGTGGCGACGAGCAAGACAGGAACCCATGCACTAAAAGAAGATCACGGCGAGCAAAGCCACGGTACGGCCTTTCAAGAACCTGCAGCAATGACAACGCCAGCCTTGGCTCACCACCATCTTCCCGAGTATGACGGCGAAAGGGACAACTGGAGAGCGTACGCCATCAAGGCAGAAGCTTATTTCGAGGCAACGGGAGTTACCGACACAGCGAGAAAAAAGGGCGTTGCTCGTAGCAGCGTTAAACACAAAGACTGTGCAGATCCTAGCGGGACGAGTCGCTCCGAAGAAACCCAACAGTCTGACCTACGAAGAAGTAGTTGCAACACTGAATGAATATTTCGACCCAAAGCGCCACGAGATCACCGAAAGCTTCCGGTTCTTCAATCGATGTCAGCACGAAGGTGAGCCTTTACAACATTTCCTTGTCGACATCCGACGCATTGCAGACAACTGCAATTTCGGCAGCATGCTGGAACGAATGCTCCGCGACCGTATAGTCTGTGGCGTCAGATCAAAGGCCTTGCAAAAACAGCTTTTGGCAAAAGCAAACTCGACTTTGGAAGAGGCCGAAGCGATAGCACTATCAGCCGAAACGGCAGATGACGACGCAAATAAGATATCGGGCGATACAACCACCGTACTGTAGGTTGACGCGCAGCGCGTGTTGACGAACGAGCCGACTCTAAAATGCGGGCGTTGCGGAAGTAAGAAGCACAACAGCCACGCATGCCGCTGGGCCAAGAGCAGGTGCTATCACTGTGGTAGGCCGGGTCATCTTGCGAAAATGTGCTCGAGCGACGCTCCGAGGAAACGCGAAACGGCGTCGACACAAGGCATGCGGGGACGAGCACTGGCGATGGCGGAAGACTGTGCGGAGGGGAACGTAGACGAAGCGATGCACCTCTGGACTTTGACTTCTTCTCGGAAGTGGCAATTAGAGCCCCCAATTCACAGGACATTCACGTGGTGCGGTGTCGACATGCCAATGCTGATAGACACGGGGTGGCCCGTCTGTGTTGTGCCCCGCGAAATTTATGAAAAGAACCGGGAGAGATGGCCGCCATTGCAACCTTCAGGTGTCAAGCTGTCCTGTTATCTTGGCAAGCTCCCCGTCCTAGGACAATTGGACATGAAGGTAGCCTACAAGGGTGCCGTAGTAGAGTGCCCCCTAATTGTATTGAATTGCCCCGGTCCTAGTCTATGCGGGCGGGATCTACTGTTTCAGCTGAGCAACGCAGGGTCACCTATTCTTCACATGACTGCGGAAGCCGGATCGCCAACGAGTCTCCCGGCCGCGGACGACATCGCCAACGAGTTTCAAGACGTCTTCAGTGCGGAACTCGGCTGCATCAGCGGTCCCCCTCCCTACTGAAAAAACGTGTACAAATGTATACCGGCCTATACCGGTTCACACCGGAGTCCTGTATTCTCATATCGGTAACCGGTACCTCTGTACCGGAGACCTGTAACCACGTACTGGCGAAGCCGATACGCCGTACCGGCTGCCCACACCATGTACAGGCGGCCGGTAAACACGTACGGGAACAGCCGGTAGGCCACACCGGTAACCGGTAACCACGTACCGGCGAAGCCGATACGCCGTATCGGTTGCCCATATCATGTACAGGCGGCGAGTGAACACGTACAGGCGAAGCCGGTACGCCACACTGGTGGGCCGTAATAACGTACCGGTGGCCAGTAATCGATGCGCGGCTAACAGCAACCACGTATCGGAGCGACCGGTAACGCCTTACCGGCGCCGGCACTTAAACCGGCGGTTGGTAACCTTGCACAGGCTCTACCGGTATACACAATAGACCGATCTCACTAAGCGTTGGGCGCATGCGTAAAGCCGCCATAACTTTAGTTCACAGGAGGCAGACGGCCGTGCACGCGAGGGCTCGTGCCTTCTCGTGCTCTGCACGCGAAGAGCTCCAGCGAGGTTGTCGCACGTGCCCAAAGACTAAAGTTCCCTCGCTGCATTGCGGCAGCGGTGGCGTAGTCAAACTGGCCGGTGAGATCGGTCTATTTAACGCGACCAGAAATTATCATACCTCGACGGGAACGCGCTCACCGCGAAACTAAACTGTGATATTTTTTTCAATAAAGAATTTTAATCAGAAAATCACATATTAGGTCATTTAAGTTTAACAGTTTCAGCTATCAAACTCAACCATTTTATGACATGCATATTTAAAGTCATAAAATGAGAAAACCAAATCCATGGGAAGCGAGGCCGAGATAAACGAGAGTTTGCTTCATAGCTTTGAGCCCTGTACCGCGGTAGTTTCGGTTTCGGTTTATTGACGTCGGATTGGATTGGATTTCGTAGCTGCAAGCAAGAGTGCAGAAAAACAACCAACGACGGACAAACAATGTTTTTCTTAACAATAAATAAACTTAACATGGTAAGTTTCTATGCTTTTAAATGTTCTAAAACTATTTTGAGTAATAATAGTATTAATATAAACTAAGGCAGATTATTTATTTAATCCAATCCAATCCTTACATACCAGCGCCGCTGGCCAGCCGGCCAGTGCCAGCCAGTGCTGTGAATCAAAGCCGCATTGACGTTAGGGCTATCTCGATCGGTGTGTATCGGTGTCGATATGTACTAAGCGTACGTGATTTATATTGATGGCGCGAAGGCAATAGTCAGCGTGGTGAACCGTATCAAGAAGTTCAAACCGGCGAACGTTGGGGACTTCGACCCCCACGTGCTGAAAAGCGTCTACTGGGAGGCTTTTGGAGCGTGCGCCGGGGAATGGTAAGTTGTTGTCTACGCATCAGGGGCTCGAAGCACAACGTATACTGCAAACCGTTAATAGGGAGTTTTCGTAGATCGTTTTCGCTGTCCCGCAACGCCCTCCGCAACTCGCTCTATACCCGGAACTCTACAGTCAAGACTATCGGCGGGCAGGCGCATCTTCGTTGCAGAGGGGGAAACGCGGTCTACGAACACTCCCTAATGTTCGCCAGCCCCCGATTTTTTGCAAATTCCACGCGTCCAAAAGTTACCGAAATTTAAGGACACGTGGAAAGCGGAAATTTCGTGGGCCCCCTTTCCGGCTTCCCCCGTTCCGGCGTCTAAAATGCGCGAAATGTGGTGGGCACGAATATGTCCTTGCGCCCGATTCGGTCCTTGCGCCCGATTTGTGAAGGACTGGGCGGCAAGAGCAAAGGGTTTTACGTTGTTTAACTACAGGGCGCTCCAGACGGTAGCCACGACACTCAAAATAAATCGCAACAAATCGGCTTTGTAAGCTCGACAAATTTACCACATAAGTTCGACTAGGTGGTGCATTTAATGTGTAAAAATATCGAAAAAAAAATGTTTGAAACAAGGGTTATAGCGCAGGCTAGCTGGTGAACGGTCCTATTTATAAACCCCGATACAAGGGGGGAAAGGGAGACGAACACGACGACTTTGAGATGTAATTCAGTGTGCATGTTTTGTTTTACAGAGACACGAGCTGAGCTGGTTGCTGCTTTGAAAAAGAAGCACGTGGCCATCCCTATGGTATTGAACTCAAAGTTCGAGGTTTATGTGTGCCTTTAGGCTGTTTTTCTTACCTCATCTTTGACTCTGTTCAGAAGGAGGGGGTTCGTCTTTTGTTTCCCTTTTTCAAATCAGCAGCATACTTCACTTCCGTTACCAGTGGGCAGTAATTGTGGGTAAAATTGAACGGTTACGCTAAAGAATATCTTGCATTTTGTTCGCTTTATGAGTAATTGTGTCCATTCATTATGGCTGGTCAGGACTATTTGTACAGACACTTTTTAAACTGCTTGCTATTCTGGTACACTGATCCGGTGGGTAGAACGCTCTATGAAAGTGGACCACAAGCCGCACTTTAACACACAAAGTGCCGCAGCTTGGCCACTCCTGGTCTCGACTGTGCTGTAGCTGCAGTTGTCCCTCTTCAATTTCAAGAGACACTCTCCTGCTCGTTTCTCGACCGCATTAAATCTGAATTCGACACTCTTCAGTCTTACGAGATGTGCTCACCTGCTCTAAGTCAAGTCAAAATCTCGCTGTACACGAAGATACATCTCTTCTCCATTATCGCAAGACGTCCTCATTTGTTTGGCGTCCTGCATGCGTTGCAGCCGAAGTTTCCTCTCTTTAATCTTTTCATCCGCTTCAATGGTCCTCTTGTTGCTACTTGCCTCTCCAGCTTTCAACAAACATGTTTTATGTTGTTCCGAAGTACCCTAGGCACTTTGCTTTCACTGTGCCTCAGCACGCTTGCGTAATGTTCCTCTGGTGAGACCTGCTTTCGCATATAGCTGATTCACACGACGGACCAAATCGCGATTTTCGTCCGCGGACCGTGTACCACGTGACCGGCACGTCACCGATTCCTGCGATCCGCGCCTCCTCCGCGGAGGTGCGGACTGATAAAGTCGAGCGCCTTTTTCACTCGCGGACGTTTGGCGGCAGACTGACTTGGAAAGCATTCAGTCTGGCAACGGTACATGGTTTTCTTGGTATTTTGCTTCTGGTCGTTCAAAACAAAAATGGCGCGTCGTTGCGTTTTGTGCGTTTGTTGGTTCATTTTGTCGTACGATTCTTGGTTCCACGCTTGAGAGAAACGCCAGAAACTTTGTCCGGCTGACGCGACGCAGGTTCCGGTGCTCCTCCGGGTCCGTGTCAAGAAGCTCCCGTCGAAACTCGTCTAGCACGCCGCGATAATTCTTTCACGTCCAATCAGGATTTCACCGAGCAAGCCCTCTCTTGTGCATGTGGTGTGCAGCGTGCTTGAGTGTTGTGCACGAGCGCGGAGTGTGTGAAGGCATCTCCAAACGCCTCTCCGCGAGCCCAGAAGTTCGTCGCGTCTACGCCGAAGCTTTCTCGGGCAGGATCATGCCTGTGTCACTGTCATGCTTTGGGTTAGTAAAGTTAGTGGCGCTTCGCGCGAAGCCTGTCCCGGTGTTTTGTTCTCGATCTGTACGTAGCAGCGGCGTACGATTCTTTATCGCGGTAGCAACCGTCGATTTTTCTCTTGGACAACGGTGCTACTGTGCGATGTTGGAGTTTCGCGGCACTGTGGGGTGCGAACAGGTTCAGTCCGTCCTCACTGGCGTCTGCTCGTCGTCTCCCTCGTGTGGATGCGCTTGGGAGACGGACGAACCGCGGACATGTCGTCACGTGATCAATCCGTCCGCGGATCAGTCCGTCGTGCGAATCGGCTAATACCGACAACGAAAGATGATACTCAAGTCTGGTTCACAGAGCTCTCCTCAGATGTGGCTATGTGCGACTGCGACCAGATGCGGCGCACATTGCTATGGCAACAACGGCGTTGAGTCACTGGCACGTGCATCAACGCAGCTCTTGCCTGCAACCAGTAGCTCTTTCGCAAATGCTTACCCATGTATGCTCGTAGTGAAGCGGATA